GGGGGGGGGGTAGAGAGGGGGTCCTTCAGCCTGGCCTATGCACTCTCACAGTCCAGGAGCCGTCAGTCAGACATCCTTGGTGCTGCTGCGGAGACGGGAGAGACTCCCACCACCACCACTGCACTCACCAGCCGTGAGCCTGGCTTCTGGCTAAGCAGCACTCCCCCTATGGGAGAGCACTGACCACGAGGGGGCAGCTCCTGTGTTGAGTGTCTGCCCCCTGGTGGTCAGTGCGCATCATAGCGACAGGTAGTTCCACTGTTTGGTCGATTTGCATATTAGCCTTTTATTATATAGGATGGTAATGATGTGACCTTTAGCAATAGCAAAAATATTTGAATAAGTGGGTAAACAGAAATTAGTGTTTGGTGTCTGCAATTCATCAAGTCTAAGGATTAACCTACTAGTATTTATTTCTCTTTCCCTTTTAAAGAGGGAATAAGAACAGAGTGGGCTTAATATGTTGTTCCAGGTGGTGGATGAAGTTTCGATATTTCAAAGTTCTCAAGATCTTTATTAATAAAGTATTTTTAAGGTTAAAAAAATACCCAGGAAACCAAATTGAAAAAAGAAAAATGTTTTTAATTACAAACCAAGTTTACATATTGTTAAACGGTCACTGAAAGCTCAGTTGTAACCACTCCTAACAGCACTAGCACAACCTCTCAGGAGCCACACTACAGCTCTGCCTCGTCCCTGTTGATTCCTCGTAGGCTGGAGCAGCACAGTCATTTCATGACACATTTATGGAGAACAAGGACTGACTGACATAAAGTACAACTGTATACCCTAAACCAGTGGTCAGCAAACTGTGGCTCGAGCCGGCTCTTTGGCCCCTTGAGTGTGGCTCTTCCACAAAATACCATGTGCGGGCACACAGGTACAGTGCGATTGAAACTTCGTGGCCCATGCGCAGAAGTCGGTTTTCGGCCTGGGCGAGTCTATTTTGAAGAAGTACTGTTGATGTTTGGCTCTGTTGACTAATGACTTTGCCGACCACTGATTTAGCCTATTGTGTGGACTGGAGGAAGCCCCGTTCTTGGCCCCGTCAGGTGCTCTGGCCAACACTTCACATGAAAGGTTCACTTGAGGAAATGCCGAGGTTTCCGAGACAGGCTTCTGTGGCTCTTCTTTCAGGCACAGACTCCTCTGGGAGGACCCCCAGCGTGGCCTGGCCGATGGTTTGGATGGACAGGTCTGTTGTGTGCACTGTGGGGTGTTCGGCAGCTTCCCTGGGCTCTGCCCACAGATGCCAGTAGACTTCTCCCCCATTTGTAACAACCAGCACTGTCTCCAGACGTTGATCAATGTCTCCGCGGGGACAACATAGCGGCTGGGTGAGACCCACGCTCCCGGGTTTGCAGCTGACACAGGAAGGGACACAGGCAGCCCTGCTGGGTTCTTAACCCTGTCCGTGCACAGGCGGGACAGTCTTGGAAACATTTTAGTAACCACGTCTTGAATGATTAAATTGGTGTCAGGGAACAGTCAGCAGGCACGCTCTCCCCATTTGTGAAGTTGAATATTCTAAAGAGCAAAATGTGGGGTGTGAATCGAGAATGGATGAGACGTGCCTACAATGTAGATTAGATGCCATCTGACTGGATTCTTTTTTAAAACCTTTCCTTTGTTTAAACAGAGAAAAGTTGCAAAAACAGTAGAGGACTCCCATGTACCCTTCCCCATGTTCCTCAACTGTTACCATTTTACCATTTGCTTCATTTTCTCTATGTGCATAATTGTGTGTGTGTGTGTGTGTGTGTGTGTATATGCACATTTTATATGTATGTGAAACAGACTTTACACCTGAATGAGCAGGTGCCTACCAGGTTTCTCTACCATAAAATTAAGAAGTATTTTGTAGTTATAAGTGATTTAGGGGGAGCTACTGGAGACTATACAAATAGCCTGTTTCTCATTAAGTTTCACCCACTAGCTTTAGCAGCTGTTGGTAATTTTTGCCTGAATCAGTTATTGCTATGATAGTGGACAAATGGTGATTTTCTAATTTCATCATTCCTTTACATTATTTATTATGTGGCATCAACACATAATAATGTGTTGAGTTTGCCTTTTCTCCTACTTACTTATATTTTACTTATACCTAAATGTGTTTTGATATATGGCATCAGTTTGGTCTTACGGAGTCCTGTTGTATTCAGTGGGTGGCACTTTTGCTGTCATTGTGTATTTAGATGCTCCGATCGCCCCACATTTTGCCAGGCACGGTGCCTTCGGAACATGGCCCATCCTTCTCTGAGCACTTCCCCAATTCTTTCCGGCACAAGGTGTTCCAGGTTCCTCTTGTACCTCTCCTGCCCAGCCCTGTCATCAGCTATTTCTCTCATGGGCCCTGGTTCCTTGTATTGGACAAGGGCACTTAGAAACCAAGATGTGGGTGCTCAGGGTGCTCACTGCTGCCGGGTGTCATCACCTTTAGGTCCTCAGTGGACAGAGCTAGAAAGTCCGTGTACACACACACACACACACACACACACACACATGCACGCAGACACACAGTTGTATATGCTTCTGCATCCACCTACATCTCCATGTATATTCAGGGCCATGAGTTCACACTGATACCTCCACAGGGTTACTGCTAGCTTCCCCATTTTCTGTATGAGTACTCCTTTCTCCAGTGGTGAGGAATCTAGTTCTGATATCCTCAACGTAGTCACTTATTTGCTCAGTCCCCCTGCATTCACTGATCTCCCAGCCACCGAGGCCACCTCCTCCACCCATAGCCCACGCAGGGTGTGTTCCTGCCACTCTCGCGGGGGCTGTGCTGGTCGTACCCTTGGTTAAAACACCACACTACCTTCCCAGTCACAATATCACACCGTATATGCGGAAGTGTTCTAAGTAAGTGACGAAAATCGTGCCTGTCAGACTGCCTGAGTCTGCAGGTAGGTGTTTGCCTGGGGACTTGCGGTCAGTTCCCCCTTAAGATAGGCGGGAGAACCAAAAGGAAGCACCGAAGCAGACACACGTCCTGACCAGAAACCCTGCCCCCACGCCCGGCGGCGCTGGGATTTGTTTGGCCATCGTTGGGGCTGGGGCACGTGGAGTTGTTCATTCGAACTGTTAGTGAACAGATGCTGTTATGGTAGCTACTGGGACACAAGGATGACAGACACAACGCCCAGGCCGTACAGTCTGTGGGGATGCGGGTGACAGTGACAGAAAGTATGTACGGGAAGCTGCAGGAGTTAGGAATCAGAGGGAGGCCACTGAAGGCTCCAGAGGACTTACCTGCTGTCTCGGGACTTTCCTGCTGACACAAAGGAACCTGTGAGGGCGTGACTGCAGGACTTAATTAGGTTGTGTCTTGTCATCTTGAGATCGAAGGTGCGTGGCGAGCAGACGGCAAAGGACTCAGTATCTGGGACACGTTTTCCCACACACCGCTGAAGGTTAGCAACGACGACACGGGAGACGTGGCCTGTGACAGTTACCACAAGATCGCTGAGGATGTGGCCGCCCTGCGGAACCTGGGGGTGTCCCACTACCGCTTCTCCATCTCTTGGTCTCGTGTCCTCCCGGATGGAACCACCAAGTACATCAATGAAGCGGGCCTGAGCTACTACGTGCAGCTCATTGACGCGCTGCTGGCTGCCAACATCAAGCCCCAGGTGAGGTTGGGCCCGGGAGGCCTGTCCACGTCGGGGAGCCAGCTGGGCCACGGAGCTTGTTCATCATGTAAACAAAAGCTGTTTTCAAATTTAATTTTTGACATGTTAACAAAGTCACGTGAGAAGAGGTCAAAAGCATAAAGGGGTCTGCAGTGTAGATTTTCCTTCCGTTCAGTTCCTCTTTCTGTGGGCCCAAGTTTGCTAGGTTCTCATGTCCTTTTGTGGGTAGAAGCCAGTAGATGTGTCTGTGTGTGTATATTCCTTTTCCCTTCTTTTCTCATAATGGTAAGATACTTGTTTCTTAGAAAAAAAATGTTTTTATTGATTTCAGAGAGAGGAAGGGAGAGGGAGAGAGACAAAAACATGAAAACATAAATGAGAGAGAAACATCAATCGGCTGCCTCCTACATGTCCCCTACTGGGGATCAAGCCCACAATCTGGGCATGTGCCCTGACTGGGAATTGAACCTGGTGCATGGGACGATGTTCCACCACTGAGCCACACCAGCCAGGCAAGATACTTGCTTTTATTTAACAACTGGAGGCCCAGTGCACAAAATTCTTGCATGGGTAGGGTCCCTAGGCCTGGCCGGCAATCAGGGCCAATTGGGGCTTTCCAGCTGCTGGCCGGGGCCTGCCTTCCAGCTGCCTGCTGGGGCCTTCCTTCATTCCGCGCCGCCCCCTGGTGATCAACACACATCATAGCGACCAATCTCCTGGTCAAACTCCTGAGGGGACACTTTGCATATTAGCCTTTTATATAGAGAGATATTTCTTACAGATATTTTCATATCCACACATAGTTTCCTATTTTTTTTAATATATTTTATTGATTTTTTACAGAGAGGAAGGGACAGGGATAGAGAGTTAGAAACATCGATCAGCTGCCTCCTGCATGCCCCCAACTGGGGATGTGCCCACAACCAAGGTACATGCCCTTGACCGGAATCAAACCTGGGACCCTTCAGTCCGCAGGCCGACACTCTATCCACTGAGCCAAACCGGTTAGGGCTCCTCTTTTATTTTTGTTATGTGGAATTGTTTGCATCTTATCTCTCTAATTACTTCCCTGCTAATGGGCACTCTCCTATATGGCATTTCCACTCTTTTGCCACTATAACCAATGCTACAAGGAGTAACCTTAGACATACAGCCCCCATATGGGTAGTTTATCTGTAGGATCTGGTCCCAGGGGGAGAACTGGGGCAAAAGTGTGTGTATTCATAAGCCATGAGTTATTATGAATAACACAGGAGCTCATGTGTGGGCTGACTCTGCCATCACCAAAATTTTCAAACTTGAGGCCTCAGAACACTTCCCTTTCCCGGCCACTTATGGTAACGTGCGGGAGGGTGCCCATTCTGGGAAGCCCGGCGGCTCCTCTGTTGCGTGGTTGGGGATTATGCGCCGTGGCCAGAGCACAGTCCCACAGGACAGCCCCTCTCCCACCCACTGTTATCTGGACTCTCCCCTCCCTGATAACACTGCAGGGACAAGCCAGCCATGCAGCGTTTGTTATGGTGCGTGCAGGGCGGGTGGGGGAGACGGTGGCCGAGTGGCTCTCCTGCAGGACCCCCTGATCTGGGTCGACAACAAGATTCATCACATACAACAATTCAGAACAAGATCAGAGAGCACACACCTCAGAGCCACGCGATTCTGTCCCCCTCGAGGGCACTGAGACCCTGCAGGTGTGGGGGGGGGACAGCGTGGCCGGGAGCTCCAGGGAGGTGCGGGTGTCAAAGAGGAGTGGGTGGCTGGGTGGCCGGGTGGGCATGCAGGGAAAGGCATTTCAGGCAGAGGGAAGGGTCTGGGCTGACGATGGGTCGTGGCCCAGTGCAGGCTGAGGGCAGTGGAGACCACAGTTTGGCCAAGATGGGGCGTGTCAGGGGCATCAAGGGGAAGGCCGAGAGAAAGGCCACCCCCTAAGCATAGCCAGGCTGCTCCTTCCCCAGCCAAGGGTTCCCCGCTCCACGGGCAGCCGCTCCGGACACAGTGGGTGATGTCCCTTTACAGTAAAATGCTCCGTCCCCCTGGGACCCTCAGCAGTCAGTCCAGGCAGGTTCTGACCCAAGAACAACCACGGCTCACACTGAAGACATGTGGGCCTCATGCCCTGGGCCTCACAATAGCGTCATGAAGTGGAGGTCTTAGCGCCTGAGCCCAGAACAGTGGGTGCACAGCTGCGACTCACACCCAGGCTTCTCCGCTCCACTTCATCACTGTGCCTGCCACCGGCCGCCAAAGAACCACCGAGCCTCTTTGGCCTGATGACTGGTTCTCAGTGTCTGCAGCACACGTGTGCTGGGGCATGGCCGGCACCAGTGGCTGCCGTGCAAAGCAGGTGGATGGTCTGGCTGATCTCGCTCTCTCCCAGGTGACCCTTTACCACTGGGACCTGCCCCAGGCCCTCCAGGATGTTGGCGGCTGGGAGAATGAGACCATCGTGCAGCGCTTCAGAGACTATGCGGACGTGCTCTTCCAGAGGCTGGGCGACAAGGTGAAGTTTTGGATCACGCTGAACGAGCCCTTCGTCATTGCTCTGCAGGGCTATGGCTACGGGACAGCAGCTCCAGGTAGGGGCCCGGCCCCGCTGTCAGCTGGATGTGGCATTCTTAGCCCCCGTGAGCCTGAAATCGGGGAGCTTTGGAGGAGGGGCCAGGAGAGCCAAGGGCAGGACCTCAGAATCCCCACCCAGTTTCCCCTCTGACACCACTATGGCTCAACCTGAATTTCAGGTCAGCGCCTCCCAGGAGTCGGGGATATGGACTAATTGGTGTAGGAAGGGGCGACCCCTGAGGCTGTACAGGCCCACAGTCTGTTTCCTGCGACTCCCAGATCCCCCAGTTTGGAATAACTGATTTGGCTGCCCTGCTCAGCCTGCCCTGACCCAACATGAGGCTGCTCGAGGCCTTCCTGCCCGAGTTCTGCTGCAGGCAGGCTGGTCCCCTGGTGTAGAGCTGCTCTGGGCCCTGCCAGGGCCATATGTAAATCCCATGTAGGGGATTCCTTACTTTTCTAAGACAAAAAACCTTTTTGTTCCAAAACACATTTGACCCCAAAAGCTCTGATGGGGATTGTGGGCCTGTCCTGCCCCTTCAGAGCCATCCCGCCTTCCTTTCCTCTAGTTCTGAGCTTAGGAGGATCTGTGCTCACCTCTGTGCTCTTCGTCGTCACGTGTGAAAGCTGGGAAGTCACAGGGAGACCCTGGAGTCATTACCAGATGCAGCTCCCATGGGTCCTTGGTTGGCGCTTTGGTTTTCCATTCCTTCGGCCCGAGAGGTGGCCTCAGACCATCGGCTCCCAAGGACTCTGTCAGCTGCTTCCGTCAGCTGTCTTCTCTAACCTCTGCTCCCACCGTGGGCTCCCCAGAGTGCCCGGGTGTCAGCGCCCGCCCTCGGGGCTCCTCTGGGCGCTTTGCCCGAGGCATGTGAGCACCCTGTGGGGGAGGGGGCAGAACCCAACATCCATCCAGCGCCCTGTCCATGCAGACACGGGCTGCTGGGGCTCCACACGCACTATTCCACTTCCTTCTCCCAGCGACTCCCAGAGGAAGAAGCTGGAAGGCTGAAATCCTCACCCAGAGTTACATGGCTGCTAGTAGGAAGTGGAGCCAGGATTTAAGTTCCATTCTTCCCCCCCAAACACGTAGCAGACGTCTCTAGGCAGAGAGTGGCACTCTTGGCCACATTCCCTCTTGGCTGACACCCATGTGTGTTTCCAGGCATCTCCTTCAGGCCCGGCACTGCCCCCTACATTGCCGGCCACAACCTAATCAAGGCCCATGCTGAGGCCTGGCACCTGTACAACGACGTGTACCGCGCCAGGCAAGGCGGCCTCATCTCCATCACCATCAGCAGCGACTGGGCTGAGCCCAGAGACCCCTCCAACCAGGAGGACGTGGAGGCCGCCAGGAGATACGTCCAGGTCTGTTTTCCCTCAGGGCATTGTTTTTACTCTTCCCTGTCTCCTCTCCTGTCATGATCTCATGGGAATAGAATTAGATCGCAGAACAAAGCATTAGGTGCAGGCCTTGTTCTGCTATCATCTGACTTTGTGAACTTGGTAATATCACCTAACCTTGTTGGACCTCCGTTTTCTCATCTGTGCAGTGGAGAGGACCTGCCTACCTCAGAGGTTTGCTGTGATGAAAGCTCTTTGGGGTTTTCTTTTAAGTCTTAAAAATGATCTGTACACGTAATCCTTGCTGGGTATAACATTGGCTTGAAGCTAACAAATAGAAAGAAATCCTCTTCAGTGTCTGGTTTGACTACAGTTAATAGAACCAGGCTGCAATGCCACATACAACCTCCAGGTGTCACCATATAACCTTACTTCCTCAGCCTAAGGCTTCCGTAAATTGGGAACTTCAGACTCTGTGTAATTTATGAGTGCTCCCAATTCCAGGAGTTTAACATAAGGAAGGACACGCATCTCTTGGTCGTGGAATTTTGCTCCTAGGAAGTAGAGGGACTAGCGGGCAGGTGCCAACAACATGACCCACCCCTGTTTCACCTGAGCCCTGACAAGAGGAGATAGAAAAGAGTGGCCGCATCGCCAAGTTTTTCTCTGGCTCCTGGTAATGTCTCTGAAGGGGTTGGAGGGCACCCTCTCCCAGGTTTCGCCTCAGGAAGCATCTTGGCTCTGAGGAGGAGCCTCCGACTGCAGCTCTGGGCGGGGACACCACGGGCCTTGTTTGTCAAACTCTTCACAAGCAAATTTGACAAAGGCAGTCAAATTAGTAAATGAAAATAGCAGTTTAATTTTCCTGTTTGCTAGCCAGCCTGGGGGAAAGTATTAGAACGGAATTAGTGCATCCCTCATTCCAGATAAATTGAATTAGAGCAGTCGTCGTTTTCTGAAATCCAAAGCCCAAACCTCGGGGAAATGTTAGTCTCATTAGATTGAGACACCTGCTGGCGGACTGTGGAACTGCAGCCCAGAACTGGGACACGCCCTCTGGTAAAATCAGCTTTTAAGAAGGGCCCCAGGTCACCTGAGCTGCAGGTGAGGGGAGGATGTGGGAGACCAGAAGCCTCTTGGGACCCCAGCCTTGAGGCCTCATTCAGGAAAACAGACAGGAAGGCTCCCACTCGAGGACTGTGGATCCAGTGCCCATGAGACGCCATCCTCTGCCTGGGCAAGGGGACAGCCTTGCAGCTCAGCCCTCCCCAGGAAGTTGTGTGTGAGCCTTAGGTGCGATGATGGGGAAGGAGCCGCTCTGTGGTGGTGGGGACCGCAGCCTGCAGGCGTAGTCTCCCCATCTCCCACAGACCTTCTAAGGCAGGGGTGGGCAAACTTTTTGACTCGAGGGCCACAATGGGTTCTTAAACTGGACCGGAGGGCCGGAACAAAAGCATGGATGGAGTGTTTGTGTGAACTAATATAAATTCAAAGTAAACATCATTACATAAAAGGGTACGGTCTTTTTTTTTTTTAGTTTTATTCATTTCAAACGGGCCGGATCCGGCCCGCGGGCCGTAGTTTGCCCACGGCTGTTCTAAGGGCATCCCAGCTCAGTGCATCTTCCCTCTAGTTGCCCTAAGTGGGATGGCAGCTGACAAACCAGAGGAGGAGAAGAGGGCTTTGGGCACTTGAACTGCAACATGCAAACAGCCACAGAGATGAGGGTTTAAGAATGGGATTTGGAACAAACAAGCAGAACAGAAGCAGACTCATAGATATAGAGAATATTTTGGTGGTTGCCAGATGGGAGGGGCCTTGGGGAATGGGTGGAAAATGTGAAGGGATTTAGAAGTACAAATTGGTAATTACAAAATAGTCATGGGATGTAAAGTAAAGCTTAGGGAATATAGCCAATAATATTCTAATAACGAAGAACGGTGTCAGATGGGTATTAGGTTTATCGAAGTGATCACTTCATAAGTTAAATAAATGTCTAATCACAGAGTTGTACACCTGAAACATTGTACATCAACTGTAACTGAAAAATAAAAAGTTTTAATTTTGTTTCTTTTGAAATTGATTTCAGAGAGAGTAAGGGAGAGGGTGGGTAAAAACATCGATGAGAGAGAATCACTGATGGGCTACCTCCTGCATGACTCCTATTGGGGACTGAGCCCACAATACAGGCATGTGCCCTGACATGTGACCTCCTAGTTCAGTGGTCGGCAAACTGCGGCTCGCGAGCCACATGCGGCTCTTTGGCCCCTTGAGTGTGGCCACGCCACAAAATACCACGTACCGGCATGCACGTACAGTGCAATTGAAACTTCGTGGCCACACTCAAGGGGCCAAAGAGCCGCATGTGGCTCGCGAGCCTAGGTTGACACTCAACCACTGAACCACACCAGCCAAGCTAAAATGTTGTGTGTGTGTTTTTTTTTAATAAAAAAATAGCAACTACTAAATACCTAAAAAGAAAAGAAAAAGGATGGCCCAGCCGGTGTTGCTCAGTGGTTCAGTGTCAACCCATGAACCAGGTCACGGTTCAATACCCAGTCAGAGAACAAGCCTGGATTGTGGACTGATCCCCAGTGCGGGGTGTCAGGAGGCAGCCAGTCAATGATTCTCTCTCATCATTGATGTTTCTTTCTCTCTCTCCCTTCATCTCTGAATTCAATAAAAAAAAATATTTTTTTTAAAGAATGGGATATGGAAAGAGTGTGGGGGGTGGGGGAAGTGTCCAGGGGCAGACCTGCTAATGCTGAGGCTGATGTCCCCCACCCCCACCTGCAGTTCATGGGAGGCTGGTTTGCACATCCGATTTTCAAGAATGGAGATTACAATGAAGTGATGAAGACTCGGATCCGTGACAGGAGCCTGGCCGCAGGCCTCAACAAGTCTCGGTAGGTCCTGGTGCCCACACACTCAGCCAGGAGAGGGTCAGGAGGGAGTCTGGTCTGTGGGCCGAACTGAAGCTCCTGGGTGGACAGCACAGTGGCGAGAGCATGGCTGTTGGGTCGGAGAGGTGTGTCTGAGGAGGTTACTGTATCTCTGAGCTTCCTGCTTGCTGGGAAGATTAAACATGATTGTGTATGTGAAGCTCTCAGCCGAGGTCCTGGCACTGCCATGTGCTTGACGAAAGGCAGTTGCTATTATTGTTGTTATCCTTCAGAACAGCCTGGAAATCTATCTTCAAGGGCACCCACTTCTTATCAACCCACCACCTCCCTCTAAGGACAAATTCCCCAGCTCATCCTACTCCATTCCATCACCTATAAGTGAATGGATAGCAATGGGTCATGGCCAGTGTGTTTGTTGTTTGGCCAGTAGGTGGCGATGGTGTGCACAAAGCAGTCCTACTTCCTGTCAAAAAAGTAATGGCAACATCAACAGCTAACATGTATTCATCTTCTATTGGTACTTCTATTCCTATTTAAAGATGAGGCACAAATATTGAAGCAAGATCATCTAGCTATTAAATGATGGAGCTGGGATATGAAATCGGGCTGATTCCAGGGCCCACACTGGGTTTGAGTCACCCAGCTGGGATTAGAGATACGGGACGTGGATGAGGACAGAATGGCCTGGCCTTATGGAAACATATCCACAAGCTCCAAGGTAGTGCATGTTGTTACCATAGCTCAAAAGGCCTTTGAGACTTTCCCACAAACTACCCCATAGAGCCCAGCTGTAAGGATTAAGTAATCCAGTCCCCACCCTTACAACACATCCTGGCCTGGTGAGGGCAAGTCCTGCTAAGCAGGCTGTGCCTACTGGTCTGGTCAGCCCATCTGGTCTCAGAGAAGCAAGCGAGCCCTCCTGTCCATCAGCATAGCTGTGCTGAGTGCCAGGTCAGAGTCTGTGTAAAGGGGAGCCTCCGTCAGGCTCCTCACGTGGCCGACACACCAGCTGGGAAGTCAGTCACCCTCATCACTCCAGGGAATTCTATTCCCCAATTTGTTCATCCAGCAAAAGCTCAGAAGATGAGATCATGACAAGGCAGGGCACCAGCTGAGCTGGGCCTTGGCAGTGAATAGCATTTGAGAGAACAGAGGGCATTCCATTCATGAGGAACAGCGCGAGCACCAACCCAGCGGTAGGAATGAGTGGGGCATGTGCAGTTAATGGGGGGAGGGGTACTGGCCTGGCGACCGGGAAGGGGCCAAGGCCACATGGTGAAGGGCCTGGAGGTCAGGTAGAGGGGCTCAGCTTTGATGCCACGGGCCCTGAGGCGCCACTGCTGGCTCCTGGGCAGGGCTCCAGTGTTCTCCCAGCAGTCTCAGAACCTCAGGGAGGGAGTGTTTTGCTCCCCCAGGTTAATGACAGCAGGAAGGTCAAGATGAAGGTGTCAGACGCCTAAAGGCAATCCCCAGGCAACCCTAAACCAGCAGCACTGAGTCTGCCTGCCAGAGGCACCTGCAGGCAGATGGGGCTGAGAGGAACCTGTATGTGTTGTATGCAAGCACATGCTAATCCGATTTTATAGGAAAGTCTCAGAGAACATGAAAAATACTCCAGCAAATGCTTATTTTACAAAAGTGTAGCGAGATCATGTGAGCAGAAAAGTTCCAATCTCCAAAGTTCAAAAAATTTAATCTGTAAAAACATTGCCCCTACTAATAAGGATAGACTTTGGAGAAAAGAGGCAAACCTAAAGAAACCACAACAAAAACAGTGCCTTAGAAAGGGCAGATGATGGAAATACAAATTATAAAAGGTAAAACCTTAGGGTTAGTCTTAAGGTATATGCCTCAGGCATGTCCTTGATTTCAAAATCAACCACAGATGGTAAATGTCAGAAGTTGCATGTTAATTTTTGAAGAAAATAAAAAAATCTGTGTATCTGTGTCCAACTGGGAGGTTTATAAAAGAGTAGCTTTTAGTTTCATTTGTAACAGGGGGGCAGTGAGGTTACAGGGCGGTAGGCGGAGCCTCGGTACCTCCCGCAGCAGTGGCAGGGCCTCTCCTCGCCCCTGGCCACTGCACCGTGGCCACCCTGTCACCTGTAGTTTACAGCACCCCGACCCTGCCCCAGAACATTCTCCTCCCAAAGCATGGCTGCTCCTTCCCCCCAGGCTCCCGGAGTTCACGGAGAGTGAGAAGAGGAGGATCAATGGCACCTACGACTATTTTGGGTTCAATCACTACACCACTGTCCTGGCCTACAATCTTGACTATGCCTCTTGGATCTCTTCCTTTGATGCAGACAGGTAAGGCATCCAGCAGGGCCTCCAAGAACAGTCTTTGGAAAAGACAGTGGCCCCTCTGCCCACCTCTTGCTTGAAGGTCCGCGTGGCCCGGAGAACCGCCTCCTGATGCCGTAGGTCCTGGGGTTTCTGAGATGAGTCCTGTCTCCTGAGACCCTAAGCAAACCCCACCAGCCTGACAGTAATACACCGGATTTCCAAGACGCCTCCCATTGAGATAGGCATGCCTGGAGTTCTTAAATAACGTTTTCGAGAAAAACCTTTTTCTTCCCTTTTCCTTTTTTTGTCATATTTGTTTTACTTATTAGATGATGTATGTCAGCTAAAGTAACAATAAGGACTTTTTTTTTTCCTTTTCGGAGTAAAGGTCAAAGTATTATTTTTGTATTACACCAATAATATGTGTTCACAGTGGTTAGAAAGCAAGAGTAGGAAATTCTTTAGTTTTAATCCTCACCCAAGGATATATTTCCATTGATTTTTAGAGAGAGTAAAAGGGAGAGGGAGAGACAGAGAAACACTAATTAGGTGCCTCCGCACTCGCCCTACCCAGGGCCGGGGATCAAGCCTGCAACCGAAATATGTGCCCTTGATGGGAACCGAACCCAGCTCAAGCCAAAGCTCTATCCATTGAGCCAAACCTGCTAGGGCGGATAGGAAATTCTTGTGTGTCATTTCAGAAGCGTATGTGTGTATATATATATTCACATTACACATAGTTTATACAGTATATATTTGTACATGTATTTGTTACAAAAAACAACAACAGGATTAGCCCAGCCAGTGTGCTCAGTGGTTGAGCATTGACCTATGAACCAGGAGGTCACAGTTCAATTCCTGATCAAGGCACATGCCTAGCTTGCGGGCTCAATCCCCAGTCCGCAAGGGGGGCATACAGGAGGCAGCTAATCGATGATTCTCTCTCATCACTCATGTTTCTATTTCTCCCTTTCCCTTCCTCTCTAAAATAAAAAAATATATATATATATGTATATATTTAAAAACCAGATTATACACCGAGTGGCCAGATTATTATGACCAGCCAAATTATTATGACCACCCCATCAATACAATGAAGTGAATTAGTTATGCAAATAATAATAAAACCTTGAGAGGATTTCCTTAGGAAGTTTTCAATATTCAGTATTTTTGGAAGTGTCAATGAAGTACTGATGGGGTGGTCATAATAATCTGGCCACTCAGTGTATGTATATATACTATTTTGTTTCATTTCAACTTTCTAAAAAATGTTTTTATTGATTTTAGAGAGAGGAAGAACAGGGAGAGAAACATCGATCAACTGCCTCCTGCATGCCCCCTTCTAGGGATCAAGCCTGCAACCTGGGCATGTGCCCTGATCAGGAATTGAACCAGCAACCTCTCAGTGTATGGGACAATGAGCCACACTGGCAGGGCTGTTCCTTTTATTTTTTAAGTTCTTTTATTACTACTACTACTACTACTACTACTATTACTATTACTAGAGGCCTGATGCACAAAATTTGTGCAAGGGGCTCGGGCCCTCGCAGCCCTGGCCAGCCCTCGCAGCCCCGGCTTCATCCAGCAGGTCATCCGGACGGTTGTCCAGAATGTCATCTGGATGGTTGTTTGGCTGCTCGGTCTAATTAGCATATTAGCTCTTTATTATATAGGAATTAAACTTAGAGAGAGGAAGGGGGAGGGAAGGGAGAGAGAACGATTTGTTCCACTTATTTTTAAAAAAATTTTATTGATTTCAGAGAGGAAGGGAGAGGGAGAGATAGAAAGAAACATCAATGATGAGAGACAATCATCGGTTGGCTGCCTCCTGCACGCCCCACACTGGGGATCAAGCTGCAACCTGGGCATGTGCCCTGAACAGGAACCGAACTGTGACCTCCTGGTTCATAGGTCGACACTCAACCACTGAGCCACATTGGCTGGGCTCCACTATTTATACATTCACTGGTTGCTGCTTGTATGTGCCGACTGGGGATCAAAGCGGCAACCTTGGTGTATTCAGACGACGTTCTAACCAACTGACTAACCACGCAGGGCTATTTCGTTCCTTTTCTACCAAGCATCCTTCCATCCCAGTAGTGTGAATCTTGTCAAGGTTCTTTCTTTGAAAACAATGCGTACACCCCACTGTGTCCTGAACCCACCATTCAGGCTTGGCAAGGGGGACTGAGAGGACCCCTGCTGGTCCCCAGTCAGGCACCCACTGGACTCTCGCTGCCTCACTGGTCTCCGGACGCCTCCACAGGGACCCGTGCTCAGCTATGGAATGCCCCCCATTCACTTTCAGCTGAGCAAGATAAATCCAGTTGTTGGTAGAACTAAATGGTTGGGTTATTTTTTTTCAAAAATTTGGATGTAAGTTAAATAACTGTATTTGAAATGCTTGACTCTCAAGACAGTTGAGTTTCCGTGCCTCCCACAGCAGGCGCTCCTTTGGCACAACCTGTTGCCCTCTCTTATCTGTCCCTGGAGAGAGGGGCAGGGTCTTGGGCACTTGAAGCAGGTCCCAGCCTAATCCCCGTCCTCACACAAAGGGGTTGGTGCCTGTGGCACTGACCAGACGCAGGTGACTCAGGGAAGCCTGTGACAGCTGCACCCACTGGAGACGTGGGAAACCCAGAGCCCTTTCACATCCAGTGTGCGGTGTTGAGCGTGTGGAGGGTTCGGTCCGGGAGTGAGACCCTCCCCCTGCACACGTGGAGAGCTGGGACAGAGCGCTAGCGTGGCTTGTCTGGTTACACCAGCACTAAGCAGTGAACCTAGAACTTATGGAGAGAGAATTGGGGCCATTTAACTATTCTGGGTTCATTTATGACTCTCACGACTAGACAAAACCTAAGGTTTTTCCTAGTATAAATCCTGCTTTGTCTTTTGTGCAAAGGGCCTCTGGGAATTTATCAGACAGACCTAATCTTGTGTTTGAACTGGCAGGGGAGTTGCCTCCATCACAGATCGCTCTTGGTCAGACTCGGGCTCCTTCTGGCTGAAGATGACACCCTTTGGCTTCAGGAGGATCCTAAACTGGTTAAAGGAAGAGTACAACAACCCTCCGATCTACGTCACAGAGAACGGAGTGTCCCAACGGGGAGAAACAAGCCTCAATGACACTGCAAGGATCTACTACCTCCGCAGTTACATCAACGAGGCACTCAAAGGTATGGCAGGCCCACCCTCACATGCACCTTGCACTGCGGAAACATCTGCTCACATCTGCATTCAGGGTGGCTTTGTACCCATGAACCCCATAATGAGAAAGATGAGGCTTCTTACTCCTGTTGGGTTAGCTGCACTGCTTTTTTTCCTTCCTAGACTTAAGCTCAGCAGGCAGACCAGTTGCCTGAATCAGCTAGACCTGAGCTCTCCGTATCCTCATTGATGCCTGAGGCCCCTGAACAGCAGTGCCCTCCTGAGGACGGTTTGGGCAGGGCTAGGAGGAACCATCCGGGCTTAGGGGACTGTCTGAAGGGTCTTTTGTTCCTGAAGCAAAAGTCTGAGATCCCCAGCTCAGCAGAACTTGGGAGGAGACTATGACGAAGAAACAGTAACACTGGTGAAAGAGAATGAGCAATGCAGCTGTGAAAACAAAAGATCAGGAAATCTGATTCCAGCTAAAATCTTTCCCAAGGGCCACTCACTAGTATTTTCTATAGAGAGGAGCACTGGTCTACCCATGTTCCCGACGCCCTTCAGAGCCGAGCCTTTCTAGAAAAATGCTGATGGCTCTGCAGATAACAAACACTGCATGCAGTGGCTGGGCAGATCTCTGTCACAGAGAACGGAGCGTCCCAAAGAGCTAAAGAAAAGCTGGCCTGGACTGCACATGGGGACTGTGGGAGAGCTCTGGGCAGCAGGGCCTCAGCAGGCCTGGGGAGAGGGTGTCTTATGCAGGAAGCTCATGCCGGGCCTCTCTTTGGACAGCTGTGCAGGATAAGGTGGACCTTCGAGGATACACTGTTTGGAGTGTGATGGACAACTTTGAGTGGGCCACGGGCTTCGCAGAGAGGTTTGGTCTGCATTTTGTGAACTACACTGACCCTTCTCTGCCAAGGATTCCCAAAGCGTCAGCCAAGTTCTATGCTTCCATAACCCGGTGCAATGGCTTCCCTGACCCAGCCGCAGGCCCACACCCTTGTCTCCAGCCAGAAGGTGAGATGCAGCTCTGAGAGCGACTAAAGCCAGAGGGAGAAGGGTGAGAGGGCCTTTCCCAGTCTATTTTCTTCTAGTTTATTACTCTCCTCTCGGCCTTTCCATTCCCTTCATCATCGGCCAGTATTTTTTTTCTTTGAATGTTCTTAGGATGGAACAAGGCACTGTTACATCTAGAAACTAGGCCCTGCTCTGGGAATAAATAGCAGGTCTAGAGTCTCATCCTAGCCCTGCTATTAACCTGCTGTGCGACCTTAGGCAGGAAATGAGGCAAATGTCTGGGCTGATACAGGAACAAACACAGTGCCTGACATAGTGTAAGATGACAGGATTTGTGAAAGACTGAAAAAGTATGGATTACTAGCTACACTAATAGACAGATATGTAAATTGACCATACCTCCGTGATGGCCCACAGCCAATCAGGAGGGAATATGCAACTTAAGCAGGACAAAGATGGTAGCGGCCACGGAGCCAGCCGGAGTGGGAGGGAGGCTTGGGTCGCCCCCGGTGATGGAGGAAGCCAAGCTTCCCACCAGCATGGGCTGGCCCCTGAAGGAGAGGCCTGTGGGCGGTGGCCACGGAGCTGGGCTGAGCGCACAGGAGGCTTGGGTCACCTGGGCCGGCTGCCGAGGGAGGGGCCTGCAGACAGCCCTCAGCCCCTCACCCAGGCTGGCCAGGCACCCCAGTGGGGACCCCCACCCTGAAGGGGGTGTGGCCAGCCTGAAAACAGCCCTCAGCCCCTCATCCAGGCTGGCCACACACCCCCAGTGGGGACCCCCACCCCAATGGGGGCGTGGCCAGCCTGCAAACCACCACAAGCCACTTGCCCAGGCTGCCCCGTCCCCCAAGAGAACCTCCACCCTGATCCGGGACACCCTTCAGGGCAAACTAGCCGGCCCCCACCTGTGCACCAGGCCTCTATCTATACTAATAAAAGGGTAATATGCTAATTAGACTGGGAGACCTTCCAGGAGACCTTCTGGACGTTCTTCTGGA